TGCATTTCGTTTTTCCTGCCAAAGTGGAGTATCTTGCATTTGTCACTGTTGAACTTCATTTTGTTAGTTTAACAGTGACAAATGCAAGATATGTAAATCATATCTATGCTTACAATATTATAACATCCAATGTACTGGCATCTAGTACAAAGTATACTTCATGCAATTCTTTAAACCTTTGTTGACATTCATATATTTACTTTACTTGAAGAATTCTCCACTTTGCAAAACTTACCATGTATCAACTACATGGCCTTTCGTCCTTGTATTTCAGGGAACCCTTGCTCTTTAGTGTCCACTTCAAAAGAAGCAATCATTACTGTTCCATAACACGTATTTAGGGAAAGCTTAGTCGATAGGCTAATCACTTCATGCGATTAATACAACAATATTAGCCTTAACATCTACACCTACCAGAAAAATGCTCATGGAAAGATCATCATCCTCTACGACGATGACGAGAGAGTGGCCAGCCAGGCGGCCACCACCATGTGCGAAAGGGGCTTTGAGAACTTATTCATGCTCTCTGGAGGTAAGACAGGCTGGGATAGTCCTGGGAATTTCCTGCTTCCCTTTTCAGAATCGACTTCTTGCTTTGATCAAACCACAGGAGGTTAAACCACAGGATCAAACCACAGGAGGGTTTGGTGGGCGTTGATAACCTGGAAATATTATTTATTTATTTATTTGCTATATTTGTATACCGTCTTTTTCAGGCAACTCAGGGCGGTTTACCAAGGCAACGATTCGATGCCCAACAACATCATAAAACATTTTAAAACATTAATACATAGTATAAAACCAAACAAAAGTAATAAAACATAAGCCATTTGCGTCTCCTAATTAAAAACGTTATCCATCTCGTCGTCCAGTCATTCCAAATTCCTATGTCTTTTACATTGCATTTTCAAACGCTTGCTTGAACAGCCAGGTCTTGACTCTTTTCTGGAATGTTAAGAGGGAGGGGGCTGATCTACTGTCTCTAGGAAGGGCGTTCTATAGCCAAGGGGCCATCATTGAGAAGGCTCTGTCTCTCATCCCCGCCAAACGTATTTGTGACACAGGAGGGATTGAAAGCAGGGCCTCCCCAGACCATCTTAAAATCCTAGCAGGTTCATAAGGGGAGATGCATTTGGACAGGTAAGTTGGGCCAGAACTGTACAAGGAAAAGGGCCCCATCATCATTTTTGTGCTTGTAAAGGACCAAGGATACACCAGCAATATAGGATTAATGCAGCTTAAGCCAAGTGTGGGATAGTTAGCTGCCTTGAGACCCCACAGGGAGAAAGGCGGAGTATAACTAAATAAATACAGTTTAGATCAGGCCTGGGTAAACTTTGGCCCTCCAAGTGTTTTGGACTTCAACTCCCACTAGGCTGTTAGAAATTGTGGGAGTTAAGTCCAAAACACCCAGAGAGCCAAAGTTTGCCCAGGCTGATGTTACGGTTATGTCAATCCCTTATGCAATTTTTTCCTGAGGTTCTTCTCTAAGTAAAGAGTTGTTACCCCTTGTGAATAATGGCAATCCTATTGTACCCTAAACATAGGAATTCAAATTTAAAAGTTTAAAATTGTGTCTAATGTTAATGTTTTGTATACTATGATGATAATTATAATCACCCCACCTGGTCACCCACCAGCTCAATAGATACCTTGAGCAATGATTAATCGATTTGCCCC